AAAAAAAAAAAAAAAAAAAAAAAAAAAGAGTAATAGAAACAGCCAGAGGCGAATGGAAAGTCTTTGGACATGGGCCAGTCGTCATGTTTTAAGATATTGCTTTCTGCCGTCGAGGAATCCGACGACCCGTCGAAACGACGGCAGGTCGTCACAGCATCTTCCTCCGAGTCAGACGAAGATACTGAAGATGCATCTCGTTTGGATATTTCAACCGCAACAAAAGCAGTCATCTTTGCCTCCAGCATCATCTCTACGGTTCCTATACCGACTTTTCTATTCTTTTTTATCTTGCTCTCTTAAACTTCTTTCCTCCCACGGAATTTATCTTTATCTTTTTTTTCCAGGCACATTCGCTCTCGCGTCTCTAACTAAGAAGCTGCGCCCGTGTCAGCCATCAGCAGTGCATATTCTGTCAGCTTTATAATGAGGGAAACCGAGGTTGTCCCGGGAACCAGGATGGTGGATACGAGGTAGAAAAATGAGTCTTGCTAGTTCACCATGGTACACAGCTACTACCGGTGGGATGCTGGGGGTCCTGAAGGTTGCTTTGGGAACATGAGAGATAGAGGGAGAAAGCTGAGGGGATCCCGTCAAGAGATGAGGTCGGTTGAGACACCCTGGAACTGAAGAAGAAGGGTGAGTCATGAGAGTTCTAAGTGAATACCGAGCAAACACTAGAACGAATGAAGAGACCTTTGGAGGTCTGCTGAAGTGGGTTGAGACGGTTGGAAAGGTTGGGAACGTGGAACTAACCGCGAGTCTCCTGATGTAAAGAAGAAATGACAAAAAATAACAGTCACCCGAGATAAGGGACACTGACTAGCTGGACTCCATGGAGAATCCTTATTAAGGAACGTCTGAGGTAAAAAAAATAAGGAAATTTTTTTGACTTTACCTTCTCTTCTTCTCCTTTAATTCTCGGTTACATTTTTTAGTCTGGATTTATACCAATCTCTTCTTTGCCTCCTGCAAACCTCGGTCCATCTTCCAAGACGTCACAGGGACAACCAAATGAATCTTTTCTTGTTCGCATCCTTCGCCTGCCAATCTACCCTCATAATTCCCCATCGCCTCTGTCTACTTAACTACACGTTATTCTCGTGCTAGCAGTAACTTAACTGTACTCTGATAATTAATATCGCATCCTCAAGGGTGCTCTCTTACAGAACAGCCAAGGAGCGGAGAAGGAATGGCGAAACATTAACGGCACTGGTTCGCGCCTTTCTCTCTCGTCGCAGAAAAGGATGCCCGGCGTCCCCTTCGACCCCTCGTCGACCCACCTGGTAGCTTCGTAGCTGGAAAATTAAATAAGAAAACCAAATTAACCGAGAGGAAAATTCCTCGGCGCGATTCTAATAGCAGGAGGTGGAGCCGTAGGCTGGTCGGAAGAATGGGAAGAAGAATTGCAAGGAACACCCGGACCAATTAACCGCATCTATTTCGCAAGACGACGAAATCCCTTTTTGGTTCTCAGCAGGAAGATCCAAGAGAAAAGGAAGAAAGGATAATAACGCGAGAAATGAAGATAGAGGAAAAAGTGAAGAATACAAACAAATGTCAACATAGCCTGGCAATGGACAATCCTCAAGAAATCCATTCGATCCTCGCTAATGAAAATCGGCCCCTGCAGCCACCCTCGTTAAATAGTTATCATTAAAATTATTCGGGTGGGTCCGCACGACACAAAGTGTACAGACCTACGTAATAAAGGTCTCCAGTATTCATACGTTGACATCGTGATACGTGGCTGTGACCTTTGAACTCGCAAAATGGACCGTACAAATGATACCACGGATGAAGATGTTATACACGAAGTCCGTATCCGATGAAGTGAATTGCGTAAGGGGGGTATAGGTGGGCTGCAGCGAAGGTGATTGAATTTAGAGTACAAAGTGACCCTTGACCCAAATCCCAAGTACAGAGTTAGCAAGCAACCGGCACGCTCTCTACCCTTGTTACCATCAGGTCCTGCTCACTAAATATGCAGTCCAGCGAATTTCGTCCTCCCCTTAGTATCAAACGGGACGCCGGCGTCGGCGACGGCTGGCTAGTCGTTGGCGTCGGCGTCGCTTCTACCCCCTTCCGTCCCACCCCCCCCCGTCCCAAGCATCCCGAGTGGCCTCAACGATGCCCACCGGTGTCGGTGCTCTTCGTCGACTGCCTATACCGCGTCCACCCAGTGGCTCCAGGTCTCATCGACGCCTGGCGTCTCTCTCACCCCGTGGCAGTCCTTTAACCCTCGGTCGAGGTCCCGGGCTTACTTTCGCCGGCGTCAGCCTCCCTTGCGGTCGAGTGGGCTTTAATGAAGCTGCGGGCAATGCGGGGATTCGCTGCGCGCCCGGAAAATAACAAGTAAAGCCCCGTACGCGCACCCTCGACGTACACGGGGTTGGTTGTATGTATGGCATACATATGTACATATGTAATACCCACTTGGGTTCGTACAGGCTACCCCCACATCAACCCCTCTAATGATATAGGGTGCCCTGCGCAACACCCCGAAAAAGCACCCGCTTGCCCTGTCGGCGACGAACTACCCTTCGGTACGAGGACCCTAACCATCTTCAAAGAGAAACCCCGAGGTGGGTTCGTTCTAGCTGAAAATTCGTATTTCTTAGCTGCGAAGTCGAGAGGGGGTTGTTGCGCGCTTGATTTTAGTCAAAAAGTGACGTCAGGACTGGCGGTGATCTTGATTAGAAAATTTATCATCGGTGGTCTTGGATACATTTTTTGTTATCTTTATGGAGTTTGAAAATTTGTTCACTGCAGTCGGACGAAGAGTAATGGTACTCTACTCGGGATTCGAGTTATTTATATCTGTGTCTTTGTCTTATGCACGTTAATACGCATAAGACCGTCTCTCTCGCACTAGCAGCTGGTATAGGGAAGTACGAAACTTTCGAAGATTTCAGGAATGTTTCGATGCAGCTTCGTCACGGAAGGATTTGTATGCTTGAGGACAATCGGTCGACTTGTCGATGAAGGTAATTACAAGTTTGTATATATAAAAATTATTCGAAATAAGAAAAAAATGTATTTCACTCCGTACGTCAGATCTAACCGAGACGAATATTTTTAAAAGAAAAGTACGTGTAAAAGAATGAGAGTAAAAGGTACCGGGTGCACCGTCGGATTAATGGGGGAGCTTAAAAATATTGCGCATTTGGAAAAAAATAGAAAAAAGGTTAACGGACGAAAATGACGAGCTTACCGCGAATGCCGTCGACTGTGCTGCCTCTGGCGGGAGTAAGTTAGAAACTAAATATAGGTTTAACAGGCTGGACGAGAAAACGCGTACGTGGCGAATGGTAATAATAATAGTAATAATGATGAAAGAGGTAAAAACAAAGAACGAATAAGAAGCAAAGGAAGAAGCGGGAGCCGTAGTAGGCGGAAGAAAAAGAGAAGAGAGAGAGAGAAGGAGCAAGAAGCAAAAGAGAAAATGGAGCCCCGGCACGGATTGTCGGTGAGCTTTTGCGGGCGAAGCAGCAAGTCCCAGCACAAATGAATTTAAGAGAGCGAGTAATGGCATGGAAGTCAGCCTTGCGCCCTGATGCCGTCTGAATACGCCTTTCAATTCGGCCCGACGACAATGACGCGCGCCCGACTGCTCGCGGCGTCGTCGGAAAGGTTGGAATTTTTTAAAAATTCAAAAATCACCGTTAAATTAACCGCGAGATTTCAGGAGTGGAATTATTTTTTTTTTACAAGTTTTTCCCAATGACTGCCACCAAAAAAAAAATAATAAAAGAGAATTACGACCCTTGAGGTTGGACGTCGTTCCAGTACCACTCTTGGTAATCTCTTTCTGCGTTTCTTCAATGCATTGTCTTCTGGTCTTTGTTTACCCTTTTTTTTTCTTATACAAACTTTATGTAGCTATTGCAGACTTTTGCAATCTTTATTTTTTCCAAAATTTTTCCCAGCTATTATTTTCACCATCGTCATTATTATGGGACTGTTTGTGTGCATGCGTAATATATATACAGTGTGTTCCGAAACTACCTGACCCGGTGGATATGGCGGTGTTCGGGAGGTTTCACTGATCACGAAAGTGACCTTCCTTTTGTCCGGAAGCTCTTAGTTTTTAAATGGGAGCAGGTTAAAGTTGACCAATCAGACGAGGCGTCAAGAGAAACGTAGGCACCTATGAACTCTGAGTTTTCTTCCCTCGCTTTTGTTTCTCGGTCTATCGGAAACAAGAAACAAGAAGCAAGCTACCGAGAAACAAAAGCGAGGGAAGAGAACTCAGATCTCGTAGGTGCCTACGTTTCTCTTGACGCCTCCATCTGATTGGTCAACTTTGACCTGCTCCCATTTAAAAACTAAGAGCTTCCGGACAAAAGGAAGGTCACTTTCGTGATCAGTGAAACCTCCCGAACACCGCCATATCCACCGGGTCAGGTAGTTTCGGAACACACTGTATATATATTACGCATGCACACAAACAGTCCCATAATAATGACGATGGTGAAAATAATAGCTGGGAAAAATTTTGGAAAAAAACCGTTGGTCAGGTAATTTCGGAACACCCTGTATAACCTAACCTAACCTCTGCCGCGAATCCGCAAAACGCAATTAGGCGGTCCCTTCCGGTTGAGGCTGAAAATCGCCGGAAGTCCGAACGCTTCTCATGGTTACCGAGGAATTTTATTGAGCGCCCTGATTCAGCGTTTCGCGCGGACAGGATGGATGCACTGAAAGAAGCCACGGAAAAAAAAAAAAAAACGAATATTACATCAAGCAAAAATATCCGACTAACTACCTTGCGCGGAACGGAATACATAAGTCAGGATAAGTACGATAAAAAAAAGAAAAAAAAAACAACAAACCCCTTTGATCAAGTTCGCGTCCCCACAGACCCGGTAATTGCATAGGCAATTTAACGCGTTAGTCGCGAATAAAGTAAAAGGATAAAAATTACAAAAAAAAATAAATAAAAACTACCTGAAAGGACACAGAAGCAACTCCCTGCGTCAGTTCCACTTTCGTTAACGTTTATATATATTTTATCCCTTGAATCTCGCTCCTGTTGAATGAACGCATAAAGACGAGTTTTCACGTAAAACATCGCCATAGGTTTATCTTAACGAACCTCGAAGACCTTTTTTTACCATTATTATTATGTCCCAATGGCTTTGCTAAGTATCTACGTAAAGATGCCTAAAGAATGGAATCTACTTGTATTACATATATACGTATATATATACACCCCCAGCACATTGACTGCATACAACATACCCGTATACAGCGCACAACTGACTCGAGTACGTGGACTCTTCATCTTGCGAAGACTTCAAGAGGATTTTGAGCTACGAATGTGAAAAATTCGAAAAAGAAAAGAAAAAAGCAAAATTGAACATATCTTGAACAATAATCACTACTTACCCGCAAGGGTGTTCAAAAATGATTGGCTCGCCACATTAACCCCTAATAATATCATCCCCTTAATTAACGAAGCATAAAACGTGGCTCAGCCAGCTAAATCATATATCCAACCATTGAGCCAGCGGATCCCTCGAACCAGCGAGCCGCGTCAAAATTTTATTAAAAAAAAAAAAAAAAAAAAAAAAAGAGGATACTTGTCTTTGCATTTATTTCTTAGGCCATTTTTACTCTCGCGTATTTTTTCGGGAAATTTTCAGGTGTTCCATTTGGAATGGGACACAGGGTATATAAGAAAAATCCCTAGGACATCCCGTCTGCTGCCACAAGAAGCGGGAAGTTGACGAGGAGAGATGAAAGGGATGAAATTAAAAATGCAAAATTTCAGAGAAGCGCCAAGGCCGTGAAGTGAGGCGCATCTCGAGTCCATTAGCGGGCCGATTTTAAAGTTGGACTTCAATATGTATGTACAAAGAAAGAAAAGTAAAAATTTCTTTTTACATCTCTCCGACATTCTATATCCATACCGGCAGTTTCGTTACCTTTCATCCCCTTCTTATCCGTCCTATACATACATCTTGACTGTGCTAAGATCTCCATCTGCCGCTGCAGTTATTATTCCTTTTATTTATGTTTAACCTTCCCTTACCCGTCCGGAACTTCTCTGCTAGCTGCTAACCTACCCTTACAGAAAATCCCACTGCTACTCGTACCAACAACCCCTCGCAGAGTACCTTGAACGTCGCGAATCTTCACTCTCGCCAGAGAGGACTTTTAACTTAGCCAGGATTTAAACGATTTTACTTTATTTCTTTTTTTTTTTTTTTACTTCACCCCGAATCCGACAGGCGGCGGTTAGGTAATAACCCGACGTCATTACCCGCCGGCAAGATCTCATCGACTGAGTTTGTTAATATTATTTATTATACATATACGCACACAGGGTGTCTCAAATTATTCATGATCCCCACTCTACTGCATTAAATAGGGGTTGAAAAGTCCCCTGACAAGATTATCGATTGGCACGATAACAATTTTCATCCCTTAGACGGCCGACACGAGGACAGTCGCAGGGGTAGGATTTTCAATGTTACAAAATTTTATTTTATTTCCCCCCCCCCTTTTCATTTAATAAACAACCGAGGCGTCCAATTGCGAATTCAGTTACGGTTTCAATAAGGAGGGTTCTTTATGGAGGAGCGTGCATGGGTAAGAACGTGCATGGGTAAATCCAGCTTATACCTGGCGAAGGAGGAGAGGGAAGAGGGGAGGGGTCAAATATCCCCTCCCCGCTTTTAATCTTCCAGCACTCGCGACTGTGTCCCCCCAAGAGACAAACTACCGGAACGCCCAGTATAATACGTACGTGCCGAACCAATATGGCGTTACGGTCCCCAGGAATGTTTGGCTTTGGCTCTGGACTCCTGCGAGCCTCCTCGAACTTCTCTCGGCCCGGGGCCACTGCAGCTGCATTAATTACCACACGTGCACTCGCTTCGAGTTTCCCTGCTAACTAACGCCCGGCTGAATCGAGAAGATCGCGACCTCTATATCCAGCTATCTGTTACGTAGACTTCGGTTATACGGCGGGTTTATAAGGTTAGTCGAGTTAACCTCGTGCGTTGCCGTTGGACTTTTCAAGATGACGTCATCGTGCACGGGAGAGAGAGCATACGAGGGTAAGTCGAAAATAAATGGAGTACGAGAAGAGAGTGCAGTTCGAGTATGTTTATGTGTATATATATGGGTTAGCAGACGCGTCACGTGACAGACTTTAAGGTTCGTTCGCGAGTGCACGTCGGGTAGTCAGGGGACGTGATTTTAGACAGTTACCGGAGGCACGTTTGAAACCACCGAGAGGCTTCGAAGCCGTACAGTGTTTATGGTCCCGAGACGATATGGACGTTACTGTAGATGGGTCGGTTAAATTTACGGGGATCTAATAATATTATAATCCATTAGTGGGCGATCTGCGTTCATCAGTCATGAATCTTATTCGCGTGGGTTTGCGCGGAGGTTGATAAGGTCGCGACAACGTGGGCGGTTTTCGCAGAAGACTGTGGGACGACCTGTGAGGGGGGAGGAGGGGGGGGGCTTAGAGTTGAGGGACAAAAATAGGGGAAAAAGGGACTAGGTGAAACTGGGTAATTTTATAGTAAGAGAGAGAGTGAGAAAAAAGTCACTAGCAAGGTACACGGTGACAGTGGCTCGTCGGTGGTCGTTTTGTGTATTAACAGTTTGGTGAGACTGGAAAAAAAAGGCGGGAAGTGTTTTGAATTTCAAAAAGAAAAACAATGACTCCATGCTTATTACGTCAAACGGATATCTTGTCTAGGGTTTAATTTTTTTTTTCCACTATCCTGTATGTTATACTGTCGGTGACATTCCTAGGGAATTATCTGGACCGTGTGGCAATGCGGTTTGCCTTTGGTGTATATCGCGTAGCACTTGGGGCGATTAATTCTGACATGGGTGGTACAGTGTTGGAGTGCATGAAACACCCTGAATAAGTCAGATTGGTTAGGTTGGTAGTAAAGAGGAAACTGGTTAAACTGACAAAGAGAAATAGGTGGGGGGGGGTAGGTCAGGGGTAGTAGCAAGCGAACGAAGAGACCTTACGGAGAGACAGAGAGATCTAGGGACTTTTTAGCCAAACCGAAGGACAGGAGAGGTGTGGAGTGTTACGGTGTAACCAACCTCTCCTCTTACCCTGTCCTTCCCTCGCCCCACCCCCATTCATTCCTACGGAGGGGTGGAATTTCGACTGTACCCAATACCCCAGTATTTCTTTGCTTTCTGTATCGCGCAACGGGGTCGCCTCGCAGGGTGTTAGAATATTCCCTTTTTGTTATGCTTCTCGCGCGCTTCTGAATCAAGGCTTTGACTCGGCCGGGCTACGACCCTATACAATATTTCTGGTGCACTCCGCCTGTGCCCGGGACGTCTCGTGCGTCTTCGGTTACGCTCGGCTATCTCCGTATTCTCGCCTACGCGGTTCACCCTCGCAAAACCACTCCGGATCCACTCTGGATCCTTGGGAGGATTGGGGCTACATATGTTCCAGGGTATACAGTGGCCAGCGAGCCCTTTTACCTTGATGCCATCAAGAGAGTACGGTTAGACGTCAGGGGTACCAATATAGTGCGTGTTAATGTATGTAGGAATAATTTCCTAGACAATTTTTTTTTTATCGATACACGTGTGTACCATTTTTTTTCGTAGATTGACATCAGGTCACGACCTTTGTATGAAATTTGTAAATCAACCCTGGCTGTAGGAATTTTTTGATTTTTTGAAAAAAAAAATTTTTATTCTTTGATTAGCGCTATTGTTATCGCGTGACTGGAGATACGACCAAGATTTATATTAAAAAGGGGATTGTTATGTGTGAAGAATTTTTTGGTTCTTATTTCATAGCAAAATTATTCAATTTTCGCGGGGGCGTTCATACCTAAAAATTATCTGAGTGCAGGAAGATCGGAGCGAGAGGATTCAGGATGCAAACTACGTGGGTGTAAAGGTCCCTATTTATTGGGACCATGAGCTTATATATAAGTAGCGTCTCGTGGGCGTCGGATTGCTGCCCTTTATTCTTACTGGGGAGAGGAAGACGTGTCCGCAAGCTTCCTCCGGGCGCCCAGTTTTCCCTGGTGGAGCCGCGAGCATCGTTCCTCTAGGAGTAGGAAGAGAGAGTGAGATAGAGAGAGGGGGGAGGGAGGTTGGGGAGAGAAGGATGGGAAGTGGAGAGAAAAGTGTAGAGTGGGGGCAGTTTGCAAGGGGCGGGGGCAGGGGAACGCCAGTGGTCGCAATTCAGGGGAAATGGTGAATAGGGGCTGCCTGTAAGTGGGAGGGGGGAAGGTGGACGAGCTTTTGTGGTGGGGGTGAACTTTGAGGGGAGGGGAGGGTCGGGTTGCCATGGCAGCTACCCGGCCGGGCAGCAGACCTCAGTCTTGCCGCGGCGGTCGCCTAAAGCGCACTAGTCGCTTTCAACTGTGATAACATCCTCTCTTTTGGCACCCTCTTAGTAAAAGGCTGCAGTTCCGTGAACTCCGCCGACCTTGGCTTCCGTGCACGCGACGTGATAACGCATTTTCACGTTATTTATTGTAACAACATTATCACGATTTTTTAACTGTATTATCATTGTTGTTAACTGAAAATGTAAAATTCAGGGGTCGGGGGTGCGTCGTTAAGTGGACACGCGACCGAGAGAGAGAGAGAGAGAGAGAGAGAGAGAGAGAGAGAGAGAGAGAGAGAGAGAGAGAGAGTTATCGGATATCACAAGGACTAGAGACAGGGTGAAAAATATTTGCACATTTGCAAAACGTCGTGTAGGACTTTTTTGACAGTTATCAGTTCTTATCAATCGGTCATTTTTTTGGGAAATTATTTTTGTACCTTTTCTCCACTGAACTGATATTAATTAGCGTCATACGGAAAATTTATATATATATTTTTTTTACCCTTAGAGGTTTTCCGTATTGTTATCTTTGTCAGCACGAATTATGTAATCGGGATAAACGTTTAATAAAAAATTGTCGCGTTTCAAGAACGCACGGGGAAACGTGTCGTGTTTTCAGAAAAAAATTATTTTCTCACGGGCTAATCGAAGATAGTGTAAAATTTTTGTTTGTTTTCCGACTAAGATTTTTTTTGGAAAAAAAAATTGCATTTTTGGATTTTATCAATTTACACGAAGATACTTCGTCTCGGTTGATCCGCGTGGGAGGTCGACGTCGTGGTCGGCGGCGGTGGGTCTAAAAGGTAGAATGGGGGGGGTAGTATACCCAGAGTAGTGCGAGCGATTCATGGCCAGCCATCGAATATTGGATCGTGGCTCCTCTAACTGGTACATTAATGAAGTAAATCCAGAAGGTTTAACATTCCTAAAATTCAATGGATATCCCAGTGGGTCCATACAGGAAGAGATAAGAGCTAAATTAGCATATAGGGGTGGCAGCTAAAAAAAAATTAAAAAAGTCCACAGTGAAATTTCGTAAAATCGTAAAGCCCCGAAAAGATTATCAAATAAAATTTAATTCGAAGAAAAAAAAAAATTCACAAAATAAAAAAATATTGCGATTCTTCCTCAAAAAGAATTGTAATAAAAAAATTTCCCTCTAAATAAATATATCCAGCTAAATAAAAGTTTCCCTCTAAGTAAATATCGTATCAAAAATTCAACCACCCCCGTTCCTATCTGTAAATCTCTATCGGGACCCTATAATATCTAAGAGACGTTTGACTCTTGATCCTTTACCAGCAGACACTTGGACCATGTCTTGGAAACTAGTATACGTGCGGTAGCATACGAAGTCGAGAAAGGTTTCAAGAGTTCATAAGGATTCCGAAGGGGATGCTGGTATCTGAAGTGATCATTGAAACACGTCGTACTAGAGAGCGTCGGCAGCTAGGACCTGAAGAACAAGGAGTTGGTGATAACAGTGTCTGCCGAAGTACAGTCTCGTTGTAAAGTATCGACGAGGCTGTGAGAAAGAAATTTTTAAAAAGACTGTATCAACAGGGAAATTTGATACTAACCAGGATGATACTAGCATATTGTCACTAGGCATAGGGATACTAGTGGAATACTTCCATAGCAGATTCATCAGAGCGAGATTAAAGGGGACGATATATAGATTAGAGAGAAGGGGGTAAAATAGAGATTGAGGGTAAAAAACGTGAAAGGAAGGTTTTTCTCTGAACAGGGGCCCAAGGGTGGGAAATGGCGGATTTTTTCACTCCGACTGAAGTTCGCGACGATATCACGGCGCAAAGTATCCGAGCGTCGTTAGGGCACCGGTCGTGCGTTGTGAACGCGGCATTACGAAAGAGAGATCCGCGTGTAGATGTGCGAGAGAGGGCCAGGGAGGGATGAAAAATATAAAAAAAAAATGTTGAAAAAATTTTTTACCCTGGCAGGTTTCTATGTAACAGGTCGAAAAGCAGTGTGAACTACCCTTTAAGCTTGTCCCCAAGGCGGCAGGGTTAAAATCGACAAGCATCGCCACGTGGTGGACTTTGACGTATAGACGATGACAGCTGTCAGAATGACGTAAACAATGAACAGTTGAATAAATAGAAAGAAGAAGTGTCGATCCTGTTCGCAAGAGATAATATTAATGAGGGCGGTGGTGAGACTGTCGCACGTGGATAAGACGTGGCGACCCGGTAGATCCTCTTGGATCGGAGGATGCTGAAGCTCTGCAGATGGTCCAGGAAGTTGAAGAAGAGTAGTCGGGATCAGGAGTGGAAGGTATTCGAGAGGGTTCGAGAGGCGTCGGGGTCGCCGGGTGAGGTTGAGGTCGAGAGGAGGAAGAAGAGGAGGAGGAGGTGGAGAAGGAGGAGGGGGACGGGAAAGTGAGAGATAAGGAGATAAGAGATTGTAAGCTGGTGCTTGTGATACAGTAAAGATAGGGAATGAGGGTGAGGGTGGTCGGAAAGTGAAAAAAAAAATTTTTCTTCCCCCCCCCAAGCCGTTTTTTTTTCGGTGCTTTTTTTTTGACGTGGCGAAGGTGTCAGTGAAGCAATGGTGATGGTGCTGAGTGTTTCGCACTCCGAGTGTCCCGGTGAGATATCACCGGGCGAAGGAGGTCGCAGCTGGGGTCAACGGATGGCGAAGACCGAGGACGGGAGGAGGGTGCCAAAAATCAAGAAAAACAATTATCTGAAAGCTGAGATAATTAAAGGAAAACAAGCTTCCCGAGGCTAATCAAGGTGGTCCTGGGGAAAATCCTGGTAGGAAAGTGGGTATACGTTGTATACCTTGTAGGTTACTTGGGGTGTCTTGATAGCGAGTGAAGACCGGGTGGAGGACGTTGTACCGAGGTGGGGAGGCTGTGGGGGAGTAAATGGAAAATCGTCTATTAGGGATATAATAGAAAGTGGAGGATGAATCTTGTTTCAGAAATATTAAAAATACAGGGGCGTAGGTATGGATCAGTTTGGGGTTCGATTTTATAGAGAGCGTGTACCGGTGGGTATTGTATAGAGGGACCCCGGACGTGGTCCGACAATAGGCTAGGAACCGATAAAACGACTACGCCATTGCCCTGGAAAATTGCGTGCACGGATTTGACGTTCAACTATTGAGGGATTCGATGCAATGGCGTGGGCGAGTGTTTAGTGTTTATCGAAGTTTTCGATGAGTTCCCAAAGGCGCAGGAGTAATTAATTCATTTTCTGTATCCCTGAATGACAGTCATTGAAAATTCATTTCTTTATAACTTTGCGAAGATATTTTGAAAAAAAAAAATGGACGACCAAAATTTTTTCTATTTTTACGAATATACAGAGGAGATTGAATACGAGTATGCGGGTTGGGCGGATTTATTTAGATAGGAATGGAGAATCCTCACGGGGATCAGACCAGGAAAGAGATTCTGTTAGTCCCAATGGAATTTCGGAAAATAAGTATCGGTGAAAGGGTAATTGAGAAAAAGGGGCTACTAGGGATATATGTTAATTGGGGGGGTCGCTGTCGGTTATCACGCCAGTATATAATATCTAGTAGTTAGCTAAGGGATGAAATCTGTATTACCAAAGATATTAGATACATAATACCCAGGATGCTGTAAAATTTCGAAAAAGGGTTTCCAAAGACCCCAAAAAAAAAAGTCTTCAAAATTATTTCTTGCAGCGTGCCAAAGAGAGCCCCGAAAGCTAAAATAAAAGATAAAAATCAAAGTGGTCACGTGATTGGAACCCGGATAAAGTGGGAAAGAAAAATTTTTCTCAAAATCGAACCGATACTAACGATCTTTATAAAAAAAAAGTAAATAAAAACCGTTAAAGAAAAAATCCCAAGCAAAGATGCAGGAGAAGAAGAAGAAACGTTTGGAGTACCCGAGATCAGCGTCAAAGTCTACCGCGACGCCCGGCGTCGCGTACCGTGAGGATTTCACGAGAAGTGCCGCGACGTCCAAGTAGAAGAAAAAGGATAGGACGTCGTAACGAGAAGAAAAAATAAAAAATAAATAAAAAATAAAAATAACAAATTCCCAAGAGAATCGCGTCGGTCGGCATCCTAGACTGTGATTGTGAGATAAAAAAGTTAAAATCAAAAAAATAAATCTCAAAGCGTCATGCATCACAGTGCGAGTTACGGTAGCGGTCCCCAGGAGAGGGTGCACCAGGTGCCACGTACCCCTGTACCTGCCGACAAGTGTCCCTACGAGACGTACCCGGCGCAGATTCCGGATTGCTGCGCGGCCGCAGCAGCCGTGCAGGATCCTTATCCTCGTCCACCGAGCGGATACGACGGAAGATGCTACGAGGAGTGCCATCGCAGGACCCCTTATCAGGAAGACTCTTATAACCAGGTACGTATCCGAGGATTGAAATTATCTGGTTTATCGGTTGGGTTCGAGGATATAGATATTTTGGGGATGAAAATAGATATCTGGCCCCCCTTTGGAAAAAAAAAAAAAAAATGCTAGTGGATAAATTTCGACACGGGATCCTCGGGCGACAGGGATAACAACAGGCTAATGGGAGCATCCGACAGGAAGAGTATGCTTAGGGTGGCAGAGGTAAGGGATGCTGTGAAGAAAAAAAAAAAAAAAATCTCTGGGAGGTTAGTTTGAAAGGAGTTTGAGAACAGGGGGGAAATGGTGGTGTGTTTTCATCGTTGTTATAAGGGCTGGTTAAGGATGGCACTAGGTGGTGGTTCATTTTTTTACTCCCCCCCCCCTCTCTCTCTCTTTCTATTCTGTTTATTTCTCTTTGATGTCTCGAGGGTACTTGAAGAAGAGTTTTTGGAGCCATCGGGAGTTTGTGAAATTAATGAAAAATTCAGGTAGGGGCGAGGGGTCGAGGGAGAGACATAGGAGAGGGGACGGGTGGTTAAGAGAAAAGATAACCGTGAATAAAGAAAAAGATAAAAAAAATATTCAAAGAGAGAGATAAAAAATTGCATAATATAATTTTCATTAATCCATTCACATTTAACTCAGCCTCTCGGTCCATCTCCTTTCCTCTCCCGTCTTTATGGCCATCTACTTATTCTCTCTGGCACAGCCACCCAATACCCGATAAGAGACGGCCTCGAAAGAGACACCGACGGAAGCTAAAAAGCTGTAAGCTCGCCATGATAAACAGAGAGACCTGGAATCCCAAGAGAAAGGAAAAGAAAGAAAAAAGGAATTGAAAAAAGAAAAGGCGGGCCAGCCATTCACACAGAAGTGCTCTGGGGTTTCAAAGAGATGCGGTACCAGCTTCCTTTGCCGCGCTCTTTTCAAACGCTCCAAGTGTACTTGCGAGCAGTGACTGTACCGGAGAGCACACTGTATTAAATACCCAGAAAGGTGACAGCACTAAACACTTCCTGTCTACGTAAGGTCGAAACATTTTTTTTTTAAATTTCCAAAAAATTTTTATCTACCAAATCACGAGGTCCTGATTAAAATTTTGTTGTAATTTGTAAAAAAAAAATTTTATCCCCCCTCCCGCACCCATCCTGATAAATACAGAAATCCCAGCGGGTTATCTTCTCGTAGACAAGATAACCAAGAGAGTGCCTGACGCTCATCTCTTATTGAACCGGAAATGCCTTGCGAACGGTCGGCTTACGCGATGCTAACGCTTTACGATCCACCCGTAGCTTTTACCCGAGCTTTCGGTTAATGTTTAAGGCCCCAGAACGGCTGTAAAGGGGAGGCCAAAAGACCTACCCGCTAGTCAGTCCCCATATACGCTGACTAGATCTTATACGAGTCCTTACGTAGACGCTTCGAAGACACTTGCGGGAACCTAGTCTGATTTTTACATGGCTGTGGCACAACCTAACCTAACAATATCAAAAACGTAACCTAACCCGATTATAACGTGACCGTGATAAATGTTTGGTCTGCAGTGACTTTTAAACAGTAACGGGATGCATTATGCATTCGCCAAACACCGCGTAAACGTTTCGCCATATACGCTGACTAGATCTTACACGAGTCCTTACGTAGACGCTTCGAAGACACTTGCGGGAACCTAGTCTGATTTTTACATGGCTGTGGTACAACCTAACCTAACATACCAGAAACGTGACCGTGATAAATGTTTGGTCTACAGTGACTTTTAAACAGTAACGGGATGCATTATGCATTCGTGAAATACCGCGTAAACGTTTCGCCATGTGTTAAAACTATCGGGACGTTAAACTATGCGGAACTCGAGTTTTGAGGTTGGGTTGGATCAGCCTGTACGAAGTGACGTATTTATATGCAGTATGTGGATATCGTATAATTTCCATAGGGACGGAAGTGCCTAATTGCAATACAAAGCGTCATCATTATTTTCGGAAAAAACCTACCGGCACCCCAGGTCCCCCGAAGTTGGCGTTAGGTCGACGGAGTCAAAGAGTCGCCTGAAGTTGGCCGAATAGAACGAGTCGACGGTTTGGGATATGATGCGCGATATGGGATATAGGGGATGGTGGAAACAGAAAGGGGGGGCTGGAAGGGGGGGGGGAGAAGGAGCAACGGTCCGGAATGAGAGCCGATTAGAATTTGAGCGATGTGGGTCAACCGGAAGTGGTCGATATAGAACGAGGCAGAGCCAGTGGGACATTTTCGAGGTGTAGAATTCGAACCACGTGCCGGATACGGAGGCGCATACGAAAGTCGGGATGTGTAGTGAGATACAAAAATGGCTTTTGAAAAGAAAAAAAGATGGCGGCTCGTAATACGTAAAATTTCATACGAACTCAATTTCATTTTTTACCCGAATACAGGTTAATTGAACCTGAAAAAATTTTTTTCAAATTTCTCGTTTTTTTTTTTTTTCTTATCACAGGAAGTGCCACCTGCCTTTCATCGGTCCCAATCCAGACTGGGATACGACGAGAGACCCCAATCTCGGGTTGGATACACTTCCGATTCAAGATGCCCCAGTAGGCTCGGCTATGAGGATAGTGGCGGCGGTTATCTGGACCAGAACGATCCCCGGATGTATTGCACGGGGGGTTATTGCATGGGGGATACAATGATGGCGACCACGAGGGGAGTCTGCGGGGAGGAAGTGGAATTGGACATGAGAAGGCACATTCAGGCGTGCGCCTGCACGTGTAATCATATGGGATACGGCAACTATATGGATTATCAGGTAAGTCAATTACTATAATACACGTACGTGCATTATGAAATTCAAAATAGAAATATGAAACAAGACGGTCCCAGCTGTCCCGTACGGGATATAGTTTTATAGAGAAATTTTCTATAAAACTTGGCTCGGCACTCGCGTCCCGACGCCTTCGGTCTAAGGGGAGTATACGGGAATACGGGAGGGTGGAAAATAAGTGTCGAGAATGAAACGGGTGATAAGGGGGACCGGGTGGGGGTTGGTTATCAGTTTCGAAGGACACTTCACGAAAATCTTTTACGGTCCTACGTTAAACTTCACGTATATGTATATACTGCAAGATCGTATACCTATATGTAGTGTCATATAGGTGCACGGTTTACGTACTAGCATAAAGAGTCGTGAGAGCGACTTAAAGTCACCTGTGAAGTGACGATTGGAATTTTGAAGGAAAAAAAAGAAAAAAAATTAAAAAAAAAAATACGACGTCAAAAAAAAAAAGAAAAAAAAATCGCTGAAAACGACGAACCGATTAACCGGAAGTGGAGAAATTGACTGCTGGTGAGAGAAAAAAAAAAGAGACAGTGGACTGGGAGAAAGTTGTGGCCGCTGGAAGTCCGGGAGAAACGAGGGGAACGAGGCGACGGTAACGTATAGCTAGTGGGATACGACGGGCAAAAGAGACGGCGGGCGTCGCGAAGCGTCGTACGGAACCGGGGAAAGGGGACTCCCGTAACTCAAGCATTTTGTACCCAAATCAGCTTTCGCCCGGCCAAGAGCTTATTTAAGCTTCGCACTGTGCTCGACGCCGAGCGTCGCCGACCCCCCCCCTCCCCTACCCCTATACTACGTATTACCGTTTCGCGAGAGGGACGCGGAGACGCGAGTCAGTTAAATATGGGAGCCGGGACGCTGCTGGGGCGATACCATAAAAAGCAAATTGGCTACGACGCTGGGCGTCCTTGCATTTGATACGACGTGTACCGAATGCTTCGATAAAAGTAACCGAGCGCTAACGTAATGGATCGTTAGGCGTCCTCTGTGCCCGAGGAGACGTCGACGCCGTTACGAATCGACTGGGGTCGATACGGTAAGGGGATGAGAGAGAGAGAGTGGAGAGAGAGAGAGAGAGAGAGAGAGAGAGAGAGAGAGAGAGAGAGAATCTAAGGGTATTCTGTATAATGGGGGAAGGGTACTGCTAACCACCCACTACCCCTCCTCAAACACCCACTACTAGATGCATGGCACATGTGCTTCTCTTACGTTCGATTTAGCATGTACACGAAATACGTGGCGTGTGGTTAGGCAGTCGTGTGCCACCTTTATATATATATAAAGATCGTCGAAGCTCTTCGTTTTTACGTTAGGTTAGGTTGGGTTACGTTTGGTAACAGTTTCAAGGAGGTACTGCAGCACGGTATAATGACTATGGGTTATAACGCGTGTACAGACCTGGAATATGTAATTCGTGCTGGTATTTTAATGAACAATTTTTTAATTGGTACCAGCTCACGCCGGCAGAGAGGTTAGGAGGATTTTCTATAAGCTTAACGTCGATTTGTCTCTTTTACTTTGGTAATACAGAAAAATATGTATAAATTTATTTTCTCTTAGTCCTGCCATTACACCTATCTGGTGGTGTCGTTATCAACTCCCTGGGTATAGAATTTTTTAAGGGTGCCACTGCACGTCGCGATTAAAACGTCGTTATGTACTTTCTCGTATAAACCTAAAGGATCGAGTGTCGGATTTTTCTTTAGTTCATTTCTACGTATCCCTAACTATCCTTGCTTATATCCTGCACGTATATATATGGGCGCATATGGGATATATTCATACGTGCAGTCGTACAGGGATGCACGCAATCTTGGCTGGGAGCCAGAGAGGGTCGTGAAAAAGGGAGGGGGGAGGGGGTGGGGTAGAAGAAAAAAGCAGAAAAGTACTAAAAAAAAAATCGAGAGAAAACAAAATGGTCGACTCTCTGCTTCATCGTAATGGCGGATCCAACGGTACCACTGTGGTAAAATTTTGAAAATGAATTTTACTTGAAATTTTTTTGTGACTCGGCAGAGTCTTTCATTTTCTTAGGTTTCACGCGCAGACCCTCCTATGCTGGTCTGGGGTACCAAACTACCCCTTGGATCGGTATTGCATTCAACCCGGCCTCAAAAAAAATTTACACCCTTGTTACCCATGCAATCCAAACGTTAAATCAATCCGGCGCTTCGGGCCGGGAAATAGAAATAATCGGGGGGTGCGCGGTGTGAAAAAAAAAACGTCCCTTGGAAAGTGATAAAAAAAATAAAAGTTAAAATAAATAAAATTCGATTGATCTAGTGCGTGTTCCGGGTAAATAGGATTGGTGGTGCTCTCTCTCTCTATCTCTCTTTTTCATCTCAAAACTACCCCTCTGTCTCCCTCTCTTCCAAAAGTACCTATATATGTACCTACTGAAATTGGTATCAAAACACCCCTAACAGTTAGGCATACCGAAGGGTAGCAACGGGCATACAGGGTCAGGGGGTTGGCCCAGCGGATACGGACGCAGTAGCGGGGTGCTCGTATATCTAATGTTATTAGGGTGAAACGGCTAAGGGTAGCTACGGCAACACACATATTGCCGCTTAAGTTAACGCTTAAGCTTAACAAGCTCCGGGGTCCATAGCTTAGTCGGTACAGCACCTTTATGTCCAGGGCCGAAGTTAAGTGCCCCCCACTATGAAAGGTTCATGAGCAGGGCGAAACTTGCCTCTTCGAAGGGAGATTTATTTATCGCGATGCTTGAGCGAAGTTAGCAATTTTTTTTTCGATTTCGTTTTTTTTTTTTTTTTTTTTTTTTTTTGGCAAATTACCAGAACAAATTCTAAAACCTCTCGGGATCCGTAAAACTTTGAAATATTCCGTAATATTTCAAAAAGTACAAATTTACTCTTTTTCTGGTTGCGCGTGGTAAAGGGACCATTTTTGTTACGTAAATTATTTTCTGTGCTATCTTTGCCTAAAAATCATTCAATCAAATGCACCTTGTGTGTATTACTGCGCAGCATGGACACAAGTTTTTTTTTTTTTTTTTTTTAACGAACAACATTAAATTTGCCCAAAATTAACTTTTGATTACGATTTAAATTTTTTTGAAATATTTTTTTCTCTCCTCGCCCCGCTTCGGAGCAGACCGGTTTGTCTTAGACTTAAGGTCCTTTTACTACTGCGTATGGGTATTTGCGTGGGCTTAGGGCTGATTTGTATGCAGCGAGACCTGCACCCCGGAAGTGTTGATTAATGCACCCCCCTCGCAGTTAGCGACAGCCGGAAGGGTGACGTGGTAGTTACGAACTTTGGCTGTAATGAGAACGTGGGTTTTCGAACCCGCCCCTCCCCCCTGCTGACCCCTTATAATCTCTGACGTTCATCGACGGGTCATGTTGTAGCGTAGATAATTTCTGATACGCGTCAGAGGGGGATAATAATTTTTTTAACGGGATAAAGTACACGGAGATACGGTTACGGCGAAGCGTTAAATAAATGATGGCGATTGGCGGGCATCCCTTCGAAATCGGGAAACTTTTATTTTAAACCGGGGAAATTTAATTCGTACCGACGCGCCGGGGTTAAATTGGTAACAAAAATTCGTGGCGACGTTCGCGGATTACGGTATAGGGGTAGTTTATATATATATATATATGTATATATATATATATATATACATATTTCAGTCATAACGTAACAACCCCGTACAGGTCAACATATGAATCAAAATGATATAAGGGTCGGGGCGGTGGAATACAAGAAATACAGTAGTCAAATGAAAACGAAAAATATTTTTCAAAAAAATATTTTTCGGTTAACCCTTTCCCAACCTCTTCTTACCCCTATATATCGTCCTCGCATAGGGTAAATATGTCGACCATTGATGTTTTCTGGTTTGCCGATTGTTTTTTTTTTTTGGACTCAGTGTATAAAAAAATTATATTTCAAGGAGGTTTGCCAAACTCCGTGGCACGTTTACTCCATCCCTTAAATTTTTCCATATCGCCTTTTTCGACCCCCCCCCTCCCCGCTAACCCCTTGTGACAGAGGCAGCCGCACAGTGCGAAAACACGGAAAATCCAATATCGCGGAGGCGCATCGTGTTTGGCGATACTGTGGAAACGGCCACCCGTCGTACAGGCAGTTTGGGAGTTTTGGGATATTTGAAATTTTTAAGGGTGACTATAGAAACCACCCCATTTTCACTTTCGACGATTTAGACGTCGATATCAAAGTGATACCGAAATTGCATCCCCCTTCTCTCCTATATCCACAAGCTGGAAACCATCGTCGAAATTTACCTTATAGCGGTACGACGGCTCTACGGTATACAGTTACAACCCTTAAACCAACCCTTATCGACGCCTCATTCAGGCCGGTGGAGAAAATACGAAAAACGTGGATTAAATCGTCGGGCTGATTTCGCCGGTGGCAGAGAACAGAATCGAATAAGAGTCGGCGACTGTATCAACCCCTCTGGGTAGTTTGTAAGATCCCTTAGTATAACCCGGGGAATCCCCGAGCAATCCCATCCGAGAGTCAACCCTTGGTACTGGAGGGCGGGAAGGGGTGGGATTCGCGTGCGGGGGATACGTGGAAATTTCGAAGAGCAGTCCTCGTGGTGAGGAAAAATTATTAAGGGGATGATTCGAATAAATCAAAAATCGACGGGGACGATAGCCAACCCGGTAGGAGCCATCTTTGTTTTCTCTCGGGGTCCTTATAAGGAGAGCCTTTAGTTTCGGGGGTGGG